GGAGGAAGGATTCAAAAAGACAGGAAGAGGGCACAGGACAGGATTTGGGGGATTTTGGTGGTAAGCTGGAATGGGAGCAATAGAGAGAAGAGGAGTTGGTGAAAGAGCATTTAAGAGCCTAGGGAATGTGATGTATGGGAGCCAAGGCAGCGAGAGTTTTAGGAAAGAAGAGAGGGCCCATTGTTACTACTGTAGAAGGGCCAAAGACCATGAGTACTGAGGAAGGGGACTGGTGGCTTAGTCATCTTCAGTTCTTTCTGATTTTGTTGGTTTTAACTTTAGGGGACAGCTTCTTAGTTTTCTGTAAACAAATAGGAGCACTTAATATCCTTGGTGCAGATACCTGCCTATGCCCAGAAACCCTACCTGATATGTATAACATGTTTTCATTTCTTATACTACATAGCCTGGGTGGGTCTGAGTACATTTGGGAATTCTGTAAAAAGAACGTATAATATATGGCCTCTGTCAGGGTTCTTTCTGGAACTTTGTCCCGGAAACCCTGTCTGTCAATGCTGCTCCTCACCCACTTAACCTCTCTCTGGCCCTAATGTTTGAGTATGCCCATACTTCATGCTGCTTCTTCCTGGATTTGGAATGAAGCTCAGAGAATGGATGCAAGGAAGGAAGGGGAGGGTGTTAAATAGACATTGTTTTTCAGGCACCATGCTAAGTACTTTGCCTGCATTATCTCATTTAACCTTCATAATAACCCTGTGAAGTAAGTAGTATTATCCCCATTTTACAGATGAGGAAACTGAGACGCAGAGAGGTTAAGTGACTTGCCCAAGATCACACAACTAGTAAGTAAGTGTGAACCCAGATCTGTCTGACTCCAGAGCCTGTGCTCTTTTCCATTGTATTACACTGAGGCTCTGAGTTTGGAGTTCTAAAGTTGGTGTGCAGACCCGAGAGTCAGGGAAGCTCTGTCTAGCACCCTGGGGGAAGCCAGCTTTGGGATATGATTTATAAATGGCTGTACCCATTGCTGACACTTGTGTCATTTTTGCCTTAAGTTCTTTTGAATTGCTCACTCACCCTCCTAATTCTTCCTAAGAAGAACTTTATATAATTGGTGTTCTTTTAAGGTCTACTAATAATTAAAGACTGATTTCCTCTAGGGAGTGGAACTGGAGGTGGGATGGGGTGGGGCAGGAGGCTATTGTTTTCCATTGTAGGTCCTTTCTATACTAATACATTTTTAGAATGATGTTACTTTGATTCTATAAAAAATCCTCTGAAGACCAGTAGAAACAGATGCAATAGCAAACACTAAGAATACACAAGAGAACACACTTTGCCAGGTTAATGACTATGAGATATATTCTTATAACATCACAAAAACTACATTTTGTGTATCTGTCCTTTTATTTGAAGGTTCGAAATGAGTTTTACAAGGACACACAGGGTGTGATACTGGTCTATGATGTTGGGCAGAAAGACTCCTTTGATGCCCTTGATGCGTGGCTGGCAGAAATGAAGCAAGAGCTTGGACCTCATGGAAACATGGAAAATATTATATTTGTAGTTTGTGCCAACAAGGTAACCCCTCTGGAAATGGTGTGTTCAGGTTTCTAGGGGAAGAGTGGAGCTTTGAGTGTTGGGAAACAAAAAGAAAAGAAAAATTCCTTATTGTATAATATGGGAATCAATAACCTTTCAAAACATAACGTCCCTAAGACAAAAAGAAAACAGCACAGCAACCTAAAACCTGCTACATCAAGATTTGTATACTTTTTTTTTTTTCTTGGTGCCATACTTGGGGAAGGATGTTTGTGACTGAGCGGGAGCAATGGGTCCTAATAATCACACTCTGACCTGACTGGAGTAGGGGCATTAATTAGGTGATGTGGACTATGGAAAGGTATGAAAAGCAGACTGTGGCCCTAAGGGTATGGCAGATATCATGAAACCAACTTTAACAGAACTGAGTAACAGCTGTTTTCCCAAGGGATCAGGTGGGACATTGCAGCAACAGGCACTCGTCCTATTGCCATAGAATATCAGTCTACATTCAATATTAGGTTTTGTTTGTGTCCCTTTGGTCCTGGTAATTTTACATACTAGTGCAGATGTTTACTAAGAGTAGCTTTGCCTTAGTAAAGGATTGACAAAGACCCTCACTGGGTCCATTCTAGTAGGACAAGGTTGTAATCTTCTCTCTGCCCCCCGGCCCCTTCTATTTCAGATTGATTGTACCAAACACCGCTGTGTAGATGAAAGTGAAGGACGTCTTTGGGCTGAAAGCAAAGGGTTCCTGTACTTTGAAACTTCAGCACAAACTGGAGAAGGCATTAATGAGATGTTCCAGGTAAGCTAGCATTTTGTCGTTTTAAGGTCAAGGCCACTGTGCCAATTATTAGTTTAAATTATAGGAAGCAAAAAAGTAATAGGAATTTCTCATTAGAATAAGCTCTTTCTTTTCAAAGAATCTAGTGAGATAGAAATAGAGAAAGGGGGAGAGAAAGGAAGAGAGAATGAGAATGAGTGATCTGCCTGCTGTCTATTTTAGATGAGACTTAGCTGATCATCAGAATTACCTGAGGAAATTCTTCAAAATACATACTTCTGGGCTCCAGACCTACTGGACGCTTATGTTGCAGTGGAACCCAGAAAGCTATATTTTGAAAAAACTCTCTAGGTGATCCTGAAGATCATCAAGTTTAACAACAGTTATTATACACTGCTTAAGCAGGACAGAGATTTTCTTCAAAGCCACCTTTGGCTAATGGTATTACATTTATATGCATAATCAAATAGAAGCATTACTGTGGCAAAATTGCCTTGCCACAGCTCGTATAATCCTATATTGTAGCCCACAGGGGTACAGTTAGAGAATAGGAGACTCTCAGTATAGACTCCAGCCAGTCACACAAAAATAAGGCCTTGCCAATCAAGCAGGAAATAGAGGGAGATGCTCACATTGCAACCTGAATAGATGGCCACTTTAAAAAAACCTACTCATCTTGAGTAATTTTAAGGGAAATAGGCTATTTAAAACAGTAACTTATAAAGTCAGCCCTTAATTATAGATACATTTGGAGGTAAGTGGTAGCATGAATAATGTATTTTTCTTCTTATGAATATATCTGATATTTTGGGAATTTTTAGCATTTCAAATAATATAGTTACACTATAAAGAGTTGTTCTTAATTGTTGAGTGGGATTGTACTTAATCTTTTATGCTGAATTTCCTTCTCACAAGATGTCACTCCTCCTACTAGAAGACAGATTTCTTCCTTGGCTGACAGGCTGAATTAAGCAAAAGTATTTTCTATTTCAAAATGAAATGAAGTTGATGCTGGTTTGCCATGCTTTCTATTCTTTTGAGTACATGGAGCAATGTGAGTTTGTGCCTGTATGTGTATAATAATGATACCTAACCATTTGACTAGTACTTTACCATTCTGGAGAAGTTATACATTTCATCACATGGAGACTTATAACAACAATGTATGGCAGGTATTGTTATCATTTCATATATGAGAGCATCTAAGGGTAGTAAAGTGATTTGTCCAAGGGACATAATTGTTAGAAATGAAATGTTTTTCAGCACTTTAAAGATGCTGGTCCATTCTCTTCTGGCTTCCATTGTGTTTCATGACATGTTAGGACTCATTCTGACTCTTATTAATCTCTGTGCCTAATGTGCCCTTTTTTCTCCCTGGCTGCTTTCAAGAGTTTCTCTTTTCTTTGGTTTTCAGCAGTTAGAATATGATGTGCCAAGATGTGATTCTCTTCATTTTTATTCTATTTGGGATTTACTGAGTTTCTAAGATTGGTAGGTAGGTGTTTTTCATCAAATATGGGAAGTTTTTTGTTTTGTTTTGTTTTACTATTATTTCTTCAGATTTTTTTTTGGCCACACTGTGGCTCTCTTTACCTTATTGGCCTCCAATTACATGTATATTAGACCATTTGATTTTGTCCCAGAGTCCCTGAGGCTATATTTATTTTTAATCTATTTTTTTCTGCATTTTTCAGATTGCATAGTCTCTGTTGATTTTACTTCACCACTGACAATCTACTGTTAAATTCACTGAGGGAAGTTTTCAGCTCTAGAATTTGCATTTGGTTCCCAGTACAGGTCTCAGTTTTCTATTAGATTGTCTGCTCACTCATTAAGAGTATATTTTCCTTTACTTCTTTGAATGTATTTTTCTTTACCTCTTTGAAATATTCATAATAGCTGTTTTACAGTCTTTGTCTGCGAAGTCCAACATTTGAACCATCTTGGGTTCAGTTTCTATTTACTACTTTTTTTTCCTGACTATGGATCACATTTTCATGTTTCTTTGTATGAATAGTGGTTTTTGATTGAACACCAGACATTGTGGATAACACATTGTAGAGACTTTAGATTCTTTTGTCTTCCTCAGAAGACTGTTGATTCTTGATTGAAGACTGTTTAGTGTTGATTTTTGATTCCTCAGGAGGCAGTTTAATTATTGGCAAATTACAATGAACTTGTGTTGACTTGGTTTTTTTTTTTTTTGCCTTAATAGCAAGGATTTGAAGAAAGCTCAAAGTGTTTCCCAAGCCCTTCTAATTTGGCAGGACTCAGCTTCCAAATTCTGTCTCTTTTGCAGATCTTGTCAGCTCTTGGTTTTAGGTTTTGTTAGGATGAGTCTATAATTTTTAGGGCACAGCCTTTCTGTGGTGCCTCAATAGGTGGTAGGGCAATTAATAAGGGGTTAAGGCAATATCTCCACTCTGACAAGGCTAAACCATACTGTTCCCAGGATAGCTCTTTCTGTAGCACCACTAGAACTCAGGATATTGGTTTTGTTCTCAACCCCATAGCAGCTGTTACCTGGTAAGCCTTGAGTGATCTCACCCTATGCATATTATAGCCCAGCCTTTGGCCACAGACTCATGAGAGACCCCCATATGGACTTGGTGCCCAGCTCTGCACAGCTCTCTTCTCTCCAATGGCCTGCTTTGCAGATTCTAGCCACCTCCTCAGCTCAATGAGACTTGTGTCTGCTCAGACTCCAGCTCTCTGTGACGTGGTCAGGAAATGGACTCCAAGTAGACAACCAGGTGATTGTGGGGCTTATCTCTCAGGGAATGGTCTTGTACTTGCTGTTGTCTACTACCAACAGTTTTTTTTCCAGTTCAATAGTAGTTGATGGCAGGAGGTCTAGTCCAGTATTCATTACTCTGTCATAGCTGGAACTCAGACATGAAATTTCAACAGGCTTTGGTCTCAATCCTCGTATTCTGTAGCCCACACCATGGCTTGTCTTCTATAACCATGTGTGTGATGAATGAATCCTTATGCCTTCAGAAATCTATGAATACTCATATTTCAGGCTAACTCATAGGCTAGAAGACAATCTTACTGACACACAGCTAGCAAAGATCCGTGAACTGTGATCCCTTTTATGTGACTTGTATCTTTTTAGCTGCATCTTGGATAGAACTAATGGATAAATTAGTCTGTTTAAAAAAAAAAAAAAAAAGACTAACAAGAAGAGAATAATTACAGTATTCTATAAGTAAGTACTTAAAAGTAGTGCTTTCCTGTTGGTTCAATTTAATAAATATTTTCTTTATTTCCTATCTACTTAATAGACATTTTATGTCAGGAAGTAACTTGGTTTTATCTGGTTGATACTGTTAACAGAGAGAGCAATATTAAGATAGACTAAAGCCAAGCTAATACGTCTTGTGTCTTGGTCTCTAGTGGTATTCCTTTGACACCCCTTTTCAGACGTCAAGGCTTCTTGTTAGGTTACCAGGTTGATTGGCTAATACTAGAGGTAAGAAAGAAGAGTCTGAAAGAAAGCTAAAAATTTTAGAAGATAACAAGAACTATAGAAGAATCCAAAAAAGAAGAGGAAAAGATTTTTAAAGAAATTAGAAGAGGAGATATGTCCATTTAAAAGTAGCTGTAGTGTGGTAAATGAGTATTGTTCAGTAATAATTACAGTGTGCACAGAACATGAAACAGCAGAGTCAAAAAAGCTTTCACTTTAAAAAAAATCAGAAAAGTGTAGCCAGGTGCAGTGGTGCATGCCTGTAATCCCAGCTGCTCAGGAGGCTGAGACAGGATCACTTGAGCTCAGGAGTTTGAGACCAGCCTGACCAACATAGAGAGACCCTGTCTTAAAAAAAAGAAAACACAAAATTGTAAAAATGGGCAAAGAATATAAAGTTTGCAGAAAAAGAAAAGGCCATAAGCATTTGGAAAGATACCCACTTTCACTTATAATTAAACAAATGCAAATCAAACTATATTACATATATATCAGATTAGCAAAAATTAAGATGTTTGATAATGGACAGTGTTAACGAGGGTATGGAGAAATAGGCACTCTCTCTCACACACACAGTGATGGAATGTAAACTGGTACAGCTTTTTTTGGACAACGGTTGTCAGACTCAAAAATTAAAATGTGCATATACTCCGGCTCAACAGTTCTGCTTTTAGGAATTTATCCTAAAGCAGTATCCCCACAAGCGTACAGAGATGTATACACAAACACTGTTTGTAGTAGCAAAAAAATTAGAAACAACTGACTTGTCCAAGAATGGAGAGTTGGTTACACAAATTATGGTACAGCCCACACCATACAATACTGAACAGTCATTTAAAAGAACAAAGAAAGTCTCTACATGTAGCTATAGAAAGATTCCAGGATGTATTATTATGTGGAAAAAAATGCAAGGTGCTAAGATGTGTTTAATCTGATCTCCTTTAGTACATGTTGAAAGATTATGGGTCTGTGTATATACTGGCATACTCATGGTAAATTTTTCTAGAAGGATGCTCAAAAAAAATTAACAATGGTTACCTCCAGGAGAGGAACTTGAGGAGTAGAGAGACACAGTTTTCATTTTACACTTTTCTTTACTATTTGAATTTTTCTAACAGTGTTCATCTATTACTTTTGTTTTGGTTGGTTGGTTGTTTTTTGAGACAGGGTCTGGCTCTGTCACCCAGGCTGGAGTACAGTGGCATGATCTGGGCTCACTGCAGCCTTCACTTCCTGGGTTCGAGCATCCTCCCACCTCACCATCCAAGTAGCTGGGACTACTGCTTGGGTGGTGCACGACCACACTTAGCCAATTTCTTTTTTTTTTTTTTTGGTGGAGATGGTGGTTTGCCGTGTTGCCCAGGCTGGTCTCAAACTCCTGAGCTCAAGCAGTCCGTGCGCCTCGGCCTCCCAAAATGCTGGGATTATAGGCGTGAGCCACCATGCCCAGCTCATCTGTTACTTTTTAACTTCAATTGTGGTTATCTGAAAGTAGGATTATCAGCCACTTTAATTTTATTCCTTATACTTTTTGCGTATTAAAATATATGAATATATATATTTAAATAGTATAAAAGAAAAAAATCTTTCAAAGTATGTATTTGCTTTATACATGACTTCTAAGAGTTGCTGGAATATATTAAAAGTATTTTAAGTTGATGTTTAAAAGGAATTCCTATTTTCACAAAATCATTTCTACCCTGGGATGTGTTTTCTTCTTGCAGACCTTTTATGTATCCATAGTTGATTTATGTGAAAATGGCGGGAAACGCCCTACCACAAATAGCAGTGCTAGTTTCACCAAAGAACAAGCAGATGCCATTCGCAGAATTCGAAATAGTAAAGACAGTTGGGACATGCTGGGAGTCAAACCTGGGGCGTCAAGGTAAGCGCTCTGGGATTTCAGTGCTGACTTCTATCATAAAGAAAGACCCCATCACCAAAATTATAGGTGCAGTACATCTTCTTCCAATTGGCTGGAAATACGAAGATACATGAAAATATATCAGAATGACTCTGTTTCACTGAATTAGCTGAATACCAAAGAGATAAAATAGAGGGCACAGTTGCCCGGTAAGAAAATTGTGTCATGTATGTGCATAAACACTTCGTGAAATGGTATGCTCTGCTTTCATCTGTGTGGAACAAGAAGAGCCTTGAAGCTAATGTAACTTTAAAAAAAAACTAACAAGAGAATTATTCAATCATAGAATGTTAGATGAGGAAAGCATGTTGGCAGTCAACTTGTACAAACATTTCATTTTGTAGGTGGGAAAACTGGGATTCAGTGAGATTAAGCATGTTCAAGAATCTCAGGAGTTGGTGGTATAATTGGTTCTTACCCTGGAACACTATATGTTCAACTGTCTATCTCTAAAGCCCTGCACGTTCCTCATCTGTATGTACGTTCCGCATCTGTGTGTGTATTTGTTTGTTTATTTTATTTTTTATTTATTTTTATTTTTGAAACAGAGTTTCACTCTGTCACCCTGGCTGGAGAGCAGTGGTGTGATCTCAGCTCACTGAAACCTCTGCCTCCCGGGTTCAAGCAATACTCCTGCCTCAGCCTCCTGAGTAGCTGGGATTACAGGCACACGCCACCACACCCGGCTAATTTTTGAATGTTTAGTAGAGATGGGGTTTTGCCATGTTGGCCAGGCTGATCTTGAACTCCTGGCTTCGGGTGATCCAACCGCCTTGGCCTCCCAAAGTGCTGGGATTATAGGCGTGAGCCACCACTGCACCCAGCCCTCTATGTGTGTGTATTTATGTTAATTATTTTATTTAAGTCAAAAGAGTTATTCAGGAAAAAAAAGTCAATCACTATTCTTTGTTGCCTGTACCAAAATTAAATTATTATTCATTATGGTTATGTAACTTTCAATGGTCTAATTCCACCGTTACTACACATATTGTAATTTGTGTGTCTTATTTTGCACCCAGACTCCCCCCACATACTTCACCCTTCCTACTTTGTCACCTTGATTCTCACAAAAGAAAAAAGTATGTCCTGAAATTGCCATGTCAGCACCCAAAGCACTACACATCTCTTCTCCATTCTGACCTCACAGCATATCTTCAGGTCCAGAAGGAAAGAGGAGAAGGGAAGGGGAAGACTGTTACTGAGCACACTCATTCACCAGGTGATATTGAGGATGCTCTAAAGCTGTCAGGGAATTCAGATGACCTCATGTGTAAGGCATAGAGTTTATCGGGATTTTTTTTTTTTAGTGCTATACTGTTTGGTTTATTGTAGATTTTTAGTGAGTTTTGAAATTGGAAAATGTGTCTTCCTATTTTCTTTTTCAAGATTGTTTGACTATTAAGGATCTATTGTAATTCCATATATATTTTAAGATCAGCTTCTCCATTTACAAAAAAAAATAAATAAATAAGCCAGTAAGGTTTCAGTAAGATTGCACTGAATCTGTATATCCGTATCTTTTAAATTTCTTTTTAGACCTCCATAGTCTCTTTCTGAATTCTTCTGTGTCATCTCCAAGGGATGCTGGCTCTAAACTTAAGAAACGATTACTTTTTCTACCTGTTAGTAGACTGAGAACAATATTCATTAAGAAAGAAGAAACTTTTGGTTCCTTGTGTATTCACTTTGGTTAATTGAAGTTTACCAGAACTTACAGGCCCCTATAGGTTTCATATCCTTAACCAATAGAAACATGTGCTTCTTACCTTTGTTCCACTGGGCCTAGCAAACTAATTTTGTATGGCACTAAGTACATTTGGGGAAAAAACCTTAAAACATTTTTTTCTTAAGTTACAGAGAGTTTTGATATTTGTTGAGTGTTAACTGTGTTTACTGTTCTTGAACTTTAAGAAAATCTTCGTCTTCAACAGAATTGATGTATTGTTACATCTTGAGAGTTTCTCTTGCTACCTGCAAATCTTGAAAGGCACTCTTAGTGCAGAGGACCAGGTGTAACTACTGACCCCATGTGCACACCCTCTCTCGGGAGGCAGAGTGGCTGGAAGGGCCCTTCCCAGGACTCCCTCGTGGAGAAGAGGGAGGATGCTGTACCTTCCTCAAGGATATGGGGTCTTTGGGACAAATAAAAATTCTGACAATTTGAATTGCTTCAGAGAGGGAGAATGTCATTCTTGTTCGCGAATTATCTAAATTATACATGTAGAAAAACAACATGCAGGGCACCAGGAAGGCCCCCCGCCAGAGTAGCCTTCTGAAAGAACAAGGTTCTTGCTAAAACAAGAAAATTCAGGACCCCTCTAAGAGCAGAAAGCAGAAAAGGCCCTAGAATGTATGCCTAAGACTTGGAGGACTGTTAACATGACGCTATGACCTCAGTCGCTCCAAGCTGATACATAAAACTTTCCATCATAGCCAAGGTGTCAAAGGCCGTCTGATTTGGCGAGCCACATTAGAAATCCTTCTGATAAAAAATAAAGGAGAAAGGCTAGGGCGTTTGATAAAGCGCCGTATCCATGCTTATAGGATCACTGGAACCCTGAATTACAAAAGGAAGGTGAGAAATAAAACCATCTGGTAGAGACAGAGCTTAATCTGACAGGGGAGTGGCTGGGTACTTAGAGCCTTCTGGGAGGCCTGACATCAGATGATGATGACCAGTGGGGACAGGGACAGGTGTATCCAGGCCCCTCCCCAGCCAGTTTTGGCTCTTTGAGGCGCTCAGAAGCCTGCAGCTCTCTCCTGGAGTGGGCCACTGGTTTATGGGAACCGCCGGATTGGAAAAGCACAGCTACTGCTCCTTTCCTCTCCGGATAGTACTGATCTCTGTCATGTTTCTTCTTTGGTCTCAGTGAGCTCATGGTCATTCTGGGCTACCCCTTTCCAGCATCCCTTGCTTGCTCAGTGGTGTCACCTTCTTGGGCCTCAGATTCCTCATGACCTTGACCCTAGAGCTCATTTCAGCCCCTTTCCTTTCATCTTCTCCTTCTGGATATTCAGCTTATCATCCACTTCTGCCATTTCTTTCTTTATCTTTTATCTTCCCTTGTTTCCTTCCACAAATACCTCAATCTAAACTCTTGTACTCACTCATGCCTGGGTTATGTAACAACCTCCTGTATCCTAACTTCGAGAAACAGTTTTCCCAGCACACACTTGTCATGAAGCACCTACTGTTGTGATTGTTTATCAAGCCCAGGTGTTGGGGTTGTTTTGCTTTCTGTCTGTGCTGTGTTCGGGCTCCATTCCAGGCTGCTGTTGGTTCTCTCCCAGAACCCCTTCTTTCAGAAGGCGACTCTGGGTGCCTTCCCTGATGCCCAAGCCCTTATTCTTTCAATCAGCAAAGATACGCTGAGTGCCTGCGAGGTGCCAAGTACTGCCTGTTTTCATCTGATTATTCTTTTACTAAGTGTTTTGTTAGCATTTACATACTTTTTGCATTGTGTAATAATAATTTTTTCAATTTGTGTTATAACGTATTATTTATTGGTTTGTTGTCTGTTTTCTAGTCCTTTAATCCTGCCTTTGAGAAAGGGTAATAATTTAGGATATGTTCACTGCAAGAGATATGTGTATCGAAACAGCTAACATGCAGTGGGTTGGGCTGACTTTGTTACTAACATAGATCTTGGCTGCTTTTCCCAGGGATGAAGTCAATAAAGCGTATCGGAAACTTGCTGTGCTGCTTCACCCTGACAAATGTGTAGCACCCGGCAGTGAAGATGCCTTCAAAGCAGTTGTGAATGCTCGGACAGCCCTCCTGAAAAACATCAAGTAGAAAGTAGAGAAAAAAGCCACGTGTGGGACTCAAATGCAAACAGACTTTCCCTAGAGGTGAAATAACCAACATGGAGTTTTCCTTCCCAGAATCTCACTGCTCTTTTCATTCATGTGTTGTCATTTGTATATCAGTAATTCAGGTGCCCATTTCATAGACATTTTACTGAGAAATGACCTGCATTTGTATGAAGTGAAGAGAACTGAGCGTCGCTTACTTCATTTCATATTTCTAGATAATCTGAATTTTTTTCTCATTCGTCAGCTCTGTAATTATAGTATCCCTTAGACATTTCACTTGGGGAAATCCACAAGGTTCCTGGAGGGAGGGAAGAGAGGACAAGAGGACCCTTTCACTTTTTGTTTTTTACTGAATTCCTCATCAGTGAAGAAAATAACAAAAATGGAAGCAAACAACATCAGAATCCCTGTAAGTTTGGTGTGACCTTACAGAGAAGTTGCTGCTTTTACGATGAGTTCCTTAGGTGATATTTTAACCATCGATCTATAATGATGACTCTTGGCAGCCCTTTGGGAGTTTGTAAAATGAGGTGATACAGTTCTGAATTGAGCAATCCTTTCTGATATTCACTCTGTTCCTCTTTTGCAGCCACCAGGGGGAGAGACAAGCCAGTCCTAAGAGAAAAGGTGGTGGTAGCCACAAATTCTAGGTACACTAGCTGCTGCTCATCCTGTCCCTGGATCTGAGGCCTTTCCCTTGCCATAGAAATGGTTGCTGGTAGCAGTAGAGAGCATTGTGCACCTGGGAATGAGGAATCAGACCCCAAGACAGAAGTACTTGCAGGAGCTAGGTGCAGTAGTATCTGTCTGTAGTCCCAGCTACTCAGGAGGCTGAGACAGGAGGATTGCTTGAGCCCAGGAGCTCAAGTCCCACCTGGGCAACATAGTAACACCTTGTGTCTTTAAAAAAAAAACAAAACAAAAACAAACAAACAAAAAAAAACAGATACTTACAAGTCGCACTTGAAGATTATGCACATCGGCAGAGGAAAAGGCCAGCCAAGCTCAGGGCAAGCTTGATGCAGTAGGAGAGACTCCCCGTGAGGCTTAGCCCTTGTCTTATTGCCAGCCTTTGCCACAGGCAGGTGAGAAAGGCAGGGCCACTCCTCAGCAAAGCTGGCCTCTTCTGCACTTCCTCACCAGTGTTGTTTCTTCCTTTTTTCCCCTCTTCCCCTTCCCCTCTTGTGTTTTTTCTGAACCCCACATCTGCCATCGTTTCTCTCCTCTTGAGTCCCTGGCTTCTGGCCACTGCCTCCTCCCTCTTCTAAGCCTTGACCTGAACCTGGTTGACCAGAGACAAGTGTGGATCCTTTGGGTGGCAGTCAGGGGAAATCTCAGGGCCTTTATTGGGAGGAATCTCTGTAATTCCTGTTTGGGCTCCAAATTTTTAAACTATAGCTTACAAAATACATTCTCTGGCCACAGTCTCTTCCTTGGTATACAAGGGATGGATGAAGTTCCCGTATTAGGACTGGCACTCCTTACGGTGCTTATAGAACCAGTCTCACCACTTGACTCATTACGTCATCACTCTTGTTACATCATATTTTTAGCTACAGCCACATTAACTAACATTTTTATATACTTTCAATTAGCTGTACTAATTGGGGCTTGAAAGTATATAAAATCTTCCTATCCTGTGGATTTTAAAAAGCTATCCCTTATCGACTGCCAGAGAGCGTCTACCTTACCACCTAAGAAGAAAAGCCACTCTCTTCCAATCCAAGCCCACTGCAGTCTTGTGGATTTTCCACACAGCAACTTTTCACTGTATGCCTGTACTCGTGCTGCACTGAGCTTGTCATCAGGAAACCAGAACATTGCTTTATCATAGCACTTTTCATCTTGGTAATATCAAAACAACTTTATGAATGAACTGATTGATATATGTTATTTCTTGCAAGATTTTCCTCTGGCCTTTAACTGGCTTCTGAGGCTACAGAACTCCAACCCAGAGTTCTTCAGGACTTAAATTTTGCTTAAGGAAGGCCTTTATCATGCTGAAAGCACTCAGACATGTCTGCCCTCACAGCAGAATGTAGAAGTCATATGAATGAGGGGTCATACATGGTAGTATCAGCCCAAATTGACATGACAACTCACTGAATGTGTGGCCCTGTATAAAAGCTGGTGCCAGTTTTCATCACTGTTATTACATAATAGATTGGGAACCTCATTCAACTGTATTGCACAGATGAGCAATTATAGCAGAGAAAATTCATTAGTGCTTCCACTCATATCCTTATGTGTGAGTTGGTGAAATTTAGCCTGAGCTTGATTCTTAGGTCTTGGGACTCAGTTTCCAACCTTCATATTAATGCTAAGAATGGCCATATACCACTTCATTTACGTAAAAGGAATAAAATAAGCAAGTTAAACTTCAGGGTCCTAGAATTTTTCTGACTCCTATAATCCTTCGGCAGAATATGAAGAAATAACAAAGCATGATCTGCAGTGGAAAGGTTTTTTTTTGGCACTAACTTCATGCAAAATTTCACAGACATCTATGCATTAATTTAAATTCTTGGTGCAAATGTGTGCTTTGTAGTTCAACCTTATTAAAAATTCTTCAGCCAGTTAGGATTTCAAGATACATTAGTGAGAGTAACAGCTAGCAGAATAATTACAATGGCTAAAACGTTTTTATAGAGGATCTTGTTTTTCAAAAAAGAATAAAAAGTTTGAATAGCTATTATTAAAGAAAAGCCATGTCTTCAACATCTGAGTCACCAAGAAGTAACACTTTTTAAACTTGTTAGAAATCCCTGGAGGCATTTTAAATTCATCTTCTAACCTACCTAAGCACTTTAAAATACAGGCTCCTTCTGTTCCTCTGTTCCCCTTCATGCCTCCTTTTGAATTGATATCTCAGCTGTCAATATTTCTTTGACTTCAGCATTGTCATTTTATTTCTCTGTATCAGTGTATCCTTAGTTTTGTTAGCCTGTTAATTTAAAAGTCCAGACTTGGGGGTCATTGTGTTGCTACCCAAGAGAAAATGCTACAGTTCTATAGATTGCACATCTTTCTTTAAGGCATACATTTACCTCAGGAAACTTACTCTAGTATGTTCTCATATACTGAATTCTCAACTGAAAAACTATTTCTTTATACCTATAAACTAGTACCTAATTCACTGTTAGTTAAACGAGCCATAGATAAGGCAGCTAAATTTCTGAAAGATAGCCAGAGTAAGTAAGCAGCCACTGCAAGCTCTGAATCAGTTTCCAAAAAAAAGAAGGAAAAAAAAAAAAAAAGGAGCTGTGCCCCATAGAACAATGACAGCATCACAAGGGGAAGGGAGAGATTTTGCCAAAAGTTAGAAAGGGTGGAGCTGTAAGCCATGTGCATGGTGCCTTTGACAGTGACAGTGCCCCCTTACAACGAATTCCACTAGGCATGGGAATGTCACCTCCTTTGCCACTGTACCCCATCAAGCTTACTCTGAATCAAAGTTTTTGTAAAACTTGAAAATGAACTTAGCTGCAAAATATAGCTAACCACCTTTCATTGCAAGCTTTGCAAAGCAAAGAGAGGTTCGTACTTCTCATAATTGGTATTTAGCACAATTGTAAGACACAGTTTTACTGTTTGTTCATTGTTTTTTT